TGTGCTCTTTTTGCAGGAGCATCCTCTTGTTTGTGGGGATTCCTGTGTGTTTTTGCAGCCTTCTGTTTGTGGGGTTTCCGATGTGTTTTGGAGAGACCATGTCTTGCTTTTGGGGTCCAGATGGGTGACTCTGACTGAACTGGTTCGTTTTTCAGGGTAAAGTCTGACATTTCAAGGACAGACTGAGGCAGCAGCAGCTTCAGGTCTTTTTATTTTCCAGTGTATCCTGATAGAAACGTGTTTCTGTTTATAGACGGTGCTCACCTCAGTCTGGCCAGATCCTGGACCCACTTGTCGCCCATCCTCTGCCGGTAGTTCATCTCCTCCTCCTCCTCCACGATCAGCCGGATCTGGTGCTTGGTGTCCGGGTCCGACACCACGACGAAGGTCCAGGGCTCGGTGTGGGCTCCGCTCGGCCCTGTACCTGTGCAGGTGAACAGAAACATCAGAAGCATCACAACCTGCAGCTCATCGTCTCCACGGCAGCGTCTCTACATCGGGCTCCGTCTCATGCCTGCAGTGTGGATGACTCTGTCGATGAGCTCTCTGGGCACCGGCTCGCTGCTGATGAACCTCACGGTCCTCCGCTGGTTCATCAGATCGTAGAAGTCTCTGGATCTCTGCAGCATCGTCTCCTCAGAGTACCGTGGAGGCGAGTAAGGGATGTGAGCGACTTCCTCCTCCTCGGTGGGATCCAGCCAGTCGTCGTCTGACGGACACACAGCAAAGAGAAGCTGCTGATGTTCAGCACAGAAAACTGATTCATAGAAATAAAACATCAAACATTGTAGCAACAGTCTGATATAAAACATGGACACTGGAGTTGTTTGTCCACGTAAACATCAGGCTGTCAATAAAGTTTCATACATCAGGAGCTGAACACAGTTCTGTCTGTTGTCACTGCTTTTATCTGGGCTGTAAAATAAGGATGTTTTCAAATAGTTTTACCTGTAATTTAGTTTTAATAATTTACTGTTATTTTACAAATTGTCCCCATTTTGTTAAATTACACATAAAAAGGTATTAATTCAAATGTTAACCATTAAAAAAAAGACTAAACCTGTAAATAACATCAATAGTTATTCATTCTTTTACATTTTATAGTAAAATTTCATGTATTTAAATTAAAAAAAAAGAAAAGTACACATACTTGCTGTTTGCAGGATTAAAAAGTAGTATTTTTTATAATGTATTATTCTACAAATTTCTTCAGTTTTTGTTAAATTACAAAAAATAAAACATTTAATAAACACATTGACTTTAAAAAGAAGAAAACAAAGGAAAAGAGGCCAAAACTGTAAATAATGTCCACATTAAATAATCTGTATTTTATCAAATATAAATATATATTATATATAGAATGTGTTGCCGGTAAGTTAGACAGTTCAACTGTGTTTAAATAATCTAAAACTGTCATTAATCTACAGATATTTAAAGCACAGCGCAGGTTTTACGGTATTCCACCGTTTTATGAAATATTTTTCACAGATTTCCACCATTTAAAAAAATAAAATCAACAGATTTAGTTTTTACAGTGTAAACTGTACCTAACAGAGATTTTCTGTACAAAGTTAAGAACTGATGTTTTTTCCGGTCATCCTGTGAAGCTTTAATCCTTTAAATGAATGAAATCGAGTCGTTCTGAAGCGTTCACATCGTTTCAGTCACTCTGGAGGAGCTGCAGACGGCGTCTCTGGTGGGAAACTGTATTATATGATTCAACTGAAGCTAATTTTACTGGAATAAGGAACCGGACCGGCTCTAAAGCAGAACACAGCAGTGAAACAATGCACAGATGTGTAGATAGATGCACTTTTGGACTGCAAACAGCTTTTGTAAACCGAACCTGTCCAGCTGACACGAGGCCAAACAGAGCAGCTCCGTTACAGTAAATAAAACTCTCTGGGTTTAAAATTGTTTGTTTTCAGGCCTTTTAATGTGGAAATGTTGCTCATTAGAGCTTAAAGTCTTCTCTGCACCGAACCACAGGAAACTCTTGACAGTGTTTCTGGTAAATGTTCACAGAGCAGATAAGCGTTTATGGCTGATAAAGCTGCTGCATGTCTCAGCGTCACATCTGACTCTGTTCTGCTGAAGCTCCAGCCGGCCGCTGAAAGTTCAGATACCAGCTTTGCTCAGCTCCCACCTGCTGCTGCTGCTGCTGCCGTCTCCGAGTCGTCCTGCAGGTCCTGATCCACCCACGGCCTCCGGCTCGGCTCCTTGGGCGTCACCGAGGTCTTCCCCCGTGACCTCAGCAGCAGCAGGCCGATGACCAGACACAGAAGCGCCGCCAGGACGGGCGTGAGGGCGGACAGCAGGGCCATGAGGATGCTGCAGGTCTGACCTGATGAAGCTCTGCTGTTTGCTCTGAGAGCAACGAACCAGCAGCTTCAGGCTCCGCTGGACAGAAGAGCACCACCTCCACGCTGCGCTGGTTATCTGAGGAGCCACAGAGCAGCTGCTGAAACGACAGAAAGACCAAAAACAGTTGATAAGTGTTTCAAAGTCCTGCTGTAAGTTAATGTTCCACATGTTGAACTGTACGGACTGCTGCTGCCTTTGTCTATTTTATCATCCACCCATCCATTATCTCTACACCGCTTAATCCTCACTCGGGTCTATCCCAGCTGACTCATGGTGAAGGCAGGGGACACCCTGGACAGGTAACCAGTCTATCGCAGGGCTACACTTAGAGACAGACAACCAAGCACACTCACATTCACACCTACGGACAATTTGTTGCATGTTTCTGGACCTTGTGGGAGGAAGCCGGAGAACCCGGAGAGAACCCACGCTGCACGGGGAGAACATGGAGACTCCACACAGAAAGATTTCAGTGCTCCCACCGGGATGCGAACTGGCAACCTTCTTGCTGCAAGGCAACAGTGCTACCAACTGCGCCACCCTGCAGCCCTCTATTATATCATCTTATCTTATATTATATTATTTTATTATATGCTGTTTTGCAGGAAGCAGGAAGCAGGTTTCAGGATCATCCATCTGAAGGTCAGCTCTGGTGGATCCAGTTTGACTAACAAGTCGGTTCAGCCACTTACTGGGAATATTTAGATTTTAAATCAAACAAATCGTCACACGTTTCCCTGGACTGTGAAGTT